TAGATTACTCGTGATCAATACGAACAGTGGAGGGATAAAACAGCTGACTGGCTAACTGGTTAGTTCATGTGTTGATTTCCCCGGAGGTTATAGCAGAGATGGACGACGCCACGGTAGAAGCACATATGATGTGATTAAGAGATGAACAAAATGAAACATCCTGTTAACCTGAATAAACTGTGAGATTTCTCAGGGTTTGAAACAGTTTGGATAATGTAAATACACAAGTCAACTAACTATATAAGACATCTAGTAGTTTTTGTATGTTTAAATTAATCGTTAGGTTACATGAGCTCTGCCCACTGATCACATACTTCAGAACCATCACCCATGTTGATTGCTTTCTCTTTTCTAGGCTCTCTTTCTCATAATCCTCTCCATCCTTTTTTACTATCCCTCCCTGTCATGGGGCGCCATCTTACACCCAAAACTAAGCAGCATGAAATTTGCTAATTACTTGACCAATCACAAATCACACAGGTATTTAAATTGGCTTGTTTCCTCTACAGATAGTCCTGCTTTCTTAATACCATAGATGACAACCCCTGCTGCTCTGATGCAAAAGACAGTACTTTGTGCAAAACCATAATAAATAATAATAATGCAATGGATTTCACCCATGTTGATCTGCTGTTCTGCTTTATGGCCACATCTTAGCTGACAGGCGTGTTTTGAGAGATAAATATCTGAAGACACAATTCCATTTCATAATACTACCTTTACCTCCCTCACATGCCTTACTTGTGCCACAATACAATGTTTTCAGTTAAAATATCTTCATTAGAGGGCGTTCTCAAGCAAATGTTACTATTATATGTGATACACATACGTACAAATTGTATATATATATATTTCTTCATTGAAACCCTTTAAATTTCCATTGCCACCCCATGAAAAATTCTCTCTGTCCATGATGACCTGGCAAAACCCACCCGCGATTTATTAAGAGACTAAGTACATATCTTTTAACCTTTAATGAACTATAGCCAAAGTGGATTTGGACACACACTAAATGCACTTGCATGCTTAGATCAATAAAATATTGCCCGTGGTGTTGAACAGTACAACAAAAACCATGTATCAGTGCTACTGTTCTTATATTTATCATTACAAGCGCTGCTCTGTCCCATGGTTCTATTCCAGCTACGTGGGGAAACATAAACAACATTTATTCAACAAAGCATTTGTTTTCCAACCTCCTGCAATAGAGAACCTGCTTCCAGCTACTAAAGAATAATTAAACTTGTATATAATTATGTTGAGGGAAACCTGAGGCACTTGGTTGAGGTTTTGACAAAGATTGTAGTCAATTTAATAATGAAAAAGCCAAGGCACAATAGGGTGATCACTTTTTTCAATAAGTCAAGTTAAGAATTTGAACAAAGATTTTACTTCTTCCTAATTAATTTGTCCATATACTGTGGTTGTATCATGTGTCTTGTGGTCTCTCTTATTTTCAGTTATCCTGGCAGCCTATCTTAGCATATAAATTCTTCTGACGAGGGTCCTGAGGGAGAGGATTTCAACAATTAACGTAAAAAATGTTTTAGAACGCATTTACCCAACCCTACCTTTAACTGGTTCAGTATAACAAAAACCTGATACATTAATCAATACTGAAAAGAATTAGTTGCAGCACTAAAGTCATAAACATTATGGGGTACCATTTTTACCATAATTAGGTGGCTACTTCAGTTATGTTATTGACAAAGTATGTAATGAATTATTAAAATGTAAAGGTTCCAGATGCAGAAGTTATTTTATTTTACTTCTTCAACTGTTGCTGCTGATACTGCCACTGCTGCATACTGCAGTCGGCAGCCTATAGACCGGTGCAAGCATCATTACCCAGATACATGCTACTGTCTGTCAAAATACCCAGCATGCCATCTCTCTGATAGCTGACTGAGGGCGGAACAGAGTGAAAATAATATAAAACTATATTTACAATTCTCAGCATAACATCAAGTGCATTGTACTGTAGCCTCATCTGATGTGTCTGTCACAACCAGCTGACTCTCCCGGCAGAATGCATGACTCAACACAACAAGTCGTCTCAAACAAGGAGACACTTCATGCTGACCCTGAGGGGGGAACTAGACCGCCCTGGATGAGTGCATTAGTGACTGTGAGAGTGTGTAGCTCAATGAACGTCATAGTGTTTTAGTGTCTACCTCTGTATATGGGAGGGTTCCTCTGTATGTGGCTCCATAACCACCACGTTGTTCAACCTCTGAAAAATCGTATTTTTTCCCCAGTCCCATGCAGATTATAAAGGGTTTTTCCTTCTTGATATTAAGAATTTTTTCCCATACAAGTGGTGCGACTCTCAGGGAGGTAATGTTGGTCATTTTACAGATATTCATGGTCCACAGAGAATGAACCCAATTGACTTTGGTGATTTTTCCTCTAAACTCATGATCGACTTCCCCTGGATGTAAAAACTAGGTGATCCTTGACCTTTTATCCAATGCCATCATCTGGTGACATTTAATTTGTCTAATGTTTTGTTGGCTGCATACCTGCAAAGCTAAAGCCATTCCCTTCAACCTTTGCTGTACTCTGTTTAGTGCTACTGATATATTTTTTTCAAACAATATACGTGCTAAACATCAGCATGTTTGTATCGTCATTAGCTGCATTTCTACCAGAGGGGGAACTCCTTGTGTTTCCACTGCAGGGAGCAGGATCTAAATACACTTCCCTTTCAATATTTTTACCCCCCAAAAACCCTCTGGTCAGGGTGAACACTTATAGAATGGACCAGAACCTTTGGGGGTAGGGCTTACAGTGCTAAACATATCTGATTGGTTGAGTAACCCAGCATTTGATGTCATTATTTATTTTTATAACACATCTGTAGTTAATCATACAATTTTAAAAATATATACTGCTTTCTTGTAGCGACATTTTTGAGCCACAGAAGAACGCGTTTGACGGATGGGCCGATGATGAAGTCCAGGAATTAAGTGCAAGTTGCTTCTCTTGTCAATTTCTTTTGATTTACAGTAATCTCAAGTGTATGGCCTCAATCCATTACCTTCGTGAATGTATGTGTTTCATATGTGCATTTTTATCATCTGTACCACCCCCCCAAACCTAATCTCCTCCTCCTTCCATCTTTAGTCAAAATCTTACTGCGCCGCTTCCATCATCTCCTCCCTTTGTTCCTCTTCCGATCCTCCTCCAGTGCAGTACAAACTGACGATAAATCCTCACACCCACACACAAACCCACTATTCTCTGCTGATCATGCAACTCAAAGGTACAAGGACCAAACTGTGAGGATGCTGTATAATATGTGTGTGTTTTGCACTCTTGACAGTTCTGTGTCTTTGGGTAAAAATATCAGAATGCGGCAAGCCCCCATATCCTTAGGAAAATAAAATGCAACAAGGAGCAACAGAGGAGTGTAGGGGTCCTGCTCCCCTCACAGACAGACATCGAGGCTGAGAGGAGGAGGGATGTGTGGATGAGAGCTGCTCCTGCATATTTTACAACCTGTTCTGCAGCCATCTGCTGCCTGACACACACACACACACACACACACACACACACACACACACACACACAAACTCCAGCAAGTCTACTTTTCAGAAATGTGCCCCTATTTAACACATATTGCACTCGGTGATACATGAACAAACAAAGTGCGCACACACATATACACACTGTCATAATGCGGAGTCCGTGAAAGGGTCATCATTATGCAGCAGCTCCCACCCATTAACAACACCTTAACCAGATTGTCATGGTAACTGGTTGCGACAACTCACCCATGTGTACCAGCGAAGTTGTCAGACGGCTCTGAAACGACCTCTCTGCCCAACAAGAGCCAACTGCTGTTAACGGACCTGCTGTGTTCTCACTTAATAACAACTTGTACTGCTCTAACCTTTGTACACAGTGCGCTGCACAAAATCAGTAATGTATGCAGTTTGGCAAGAGTCTTGATTCTATTTTAGATCATCGTTTAATAAAGGCATCCTACTGATACACACTCATGCACTAGAAATAGATTGTTTTCCACCAAAGAAACAATTGAAACTCTCTTTGTAAGAAACCTGAAGCCTGCACTGTGTGAGTTTGATAACATTGACATCACTTTGATTAAATTCACATATTTTGACCCCTGTGGTCTTAGATTAAGCTTTTAAGTCCACACAAACTCAATGGGGAAAATGACAATGTTCTTGATTTAATTTCTGTGCTCCATGAATAGACAAAACGGAGCCATACCACTGGAAAGCATGGGGAACAGTGTAGCCAACAGGTCAGGTGAGCCCACAGTAGGACAGTTAGTGAGCAATTGCAGGCATCAATTTGATGTTATGCTTAACAATCATATCAACGTAAAAGACACATGGAAGCATCTGGGCAGTGACGGTGACATTGTTTGCAACAGAAAGATCTCTTTTCATATGTACTGTATGGAGAGCGTACATAAGCCTTTAGTCTTGTTACAAGCTGTCCGATAATCCGACTCTTCTGGATGTTGTGCACCGTCACCTCTTCATTGCAGCAATATCACCATGTTCCCAACCTATAGTGAGAATTCTGATAGGACACAGTTCCCTTGCTTTACGAGGAAAAAAGACGATCAGGAACCTTTTACCTTGAAGTCCTATTTGTTGCCCCTCAGTACATTTCCCTGCCTCACCGCATCTCAATCTCAGTTTCCCTGCCAACCTGACTAGACCACAGGTTTTCTTCTCCTGTGGTCACAGAGCAGCGGTGCAGTGCTTTGGACAGTGGATGGATTGCGCACAGTGTGGAAGAGCTGTGAAAGACAAAGCCACGACAGAGAAAACAGGTAACAGCATGTCCAGTGGACTGAGGGCTTATGGGAGAGAGGCAGGGGGGCGGGGACGCAGGATGGGGCCCTACCTCCCGTGACCATTGAACTTAGAACCCTAGCCACCATGGTGGGTGGTCGTGGTCAGTGGTGGTGGTGGTGGGGGTTCAAAGGGGACACACAGAACATGCTAGAAACGCTGTACCTTTCAATGTGCCTTCAGAAAGAGCCCAACTCACCCCCGGAACCAATAAATCTAGAGGAATGAGACTGTGTTAGTCAGGAAGAAGCAGAAGAAAGCACGGAAGGAAGAGCTGGAGACTTAGAAACAGGAGAGAGTCAAAGAGAGAGAAAGAGGGAAAGAGGGATGGAGTAAGGCCAGAAGGAAGCGATGAAAGATAAAGCTGGTTTTTATGTTCCTACATTTTGTCTTTCCAGTGATTCTGAGTCCAGTTGTACTTTTTGTTTTGTAACGATCAAGAAGCCATTGACTCTCCAACCAAAGCAGACACTCACAACCATCCCTACATTCAATTGAGTTACACCAGTAAGCAGTCTCTTTCTAAAAGCAACCTTTTTGTGTTGCTATTTTGCTAATCGACCGACATATTCCCCTTTTTTCGATGTGTATCAAAAAAGGTATGCTGGGCAAAAAAAGAATACAAGAGTCTCCAACCAAAATTCAGAAAAGACGAAAAGGAAAACTGAGAAATGAACTTAATAGGAACTGTAAGGTCTTGTGTAATGTCAAGAAAAAAGGGAAGCGCCTCTTGTGTACATGTGTTAAAGTGCGCAAGGGTCTGAGGGGGGTTTCTCAATTGGTCATATACCCTTGGCAGACCACTCCTGAAAAAAGAAGGTCAATTTCCATCTGTTTTTCTCAAGACCTGGACGGAAACATTACGGTTAATGAATAAAATCATCATATAGAAGAAAATCAAGGAGAATTTAAGATTTTCAAACCTAGTCCACTGCTCCTTTAGAATAAGTGGCTAAATAACATAGTTTACCGAATTCTCGGGAAATTTAAAGCTAGCAGATGCTAGCGGTTGTGTTTTTGGGTGTAGGAGGCAGTGGAAAGAATAAAAACCAAACCAAACAGTTTGCCACCAACTCCTATACAGCCGAAGGGGAGGGGGAACCGGCAGGGAATTAGTTCTCACTCCTACAAACCTAACCTAAACCTAAGTGATCTGAGATCTTAAATACAGGAAAACTAAGGGGAAAGACTTCCTCATTTCTTCCCCCAGATTTAGGTCGATCCCTGCCCCTGCGGCTGTACTAAACCACATGCAGAAGAGAGGAAGGGAGGGGGGTCATCTCCTTTTTGATCAGGGCGATAAAATGATCAACAACTCCCCCTCCCTCTAGCTCTGTTTACCCAACACCATGCAAGCCCCATCTGTCAGCACTCACTGGGCATGCTCCTAGGGGCCATCCCAAGCACGGCATCTAAGACCAGGCAAGATAAGGGCGGAAGGGGCTAACACCAGTGGTCAGCTATCCTCGCTCTGTAAACTGACCAGTTGTGGAAGCTTTTCTTAACATCCAGCTTGATCAATTTTTAGCTGGAGTTAAAGCAGAGCCTCCAAAGTCTGCAGCAGTCTGCAGAGTAAAAGTAGGTGACCACCAGACTGCAACAAAAACGAGCCGGACTGCTAACCAAGAAAGAAAAAGGGAGGGTTCTACCACAGACTAGCGACCATAGGTGGTACTAGCTCACTATTTGCGTTTTCTTAGATTCGGCCAAACCAAATCAAAAAGCAAAAGAAAAAAAGGCTCAGGCTCAAATCAAGCAGGACTCAGAAAGATGTGGAAAGACTACCGACCAGCCAGCTCCTTCTCCTTACTCCGTCTCTTTTTCTCCCTGCGTTTCAGTCTCTTCGCCTCCCTGAGCTTGGCCTCCTCGGCCTCTTGGTGGCGCCGGCACTTATGGAAGTTCTCCACCACCACGCCCACGAACATGTTGAGCACGAAGAAAGCCACGATCAACAGGAAAGAGATGAAATAAAGCAGCATCCATGGGTTGTAGTTCAATTCTGGCTGAAACATACACAGAAACAGAGGATTTTATAGATATTCAGAAGTGTTATATGTGCAGAATTCTAACTTGGATATTACTTCCAACAGATATTATCAGTGAATATTTTTGAGGGGATGGCCCCAGTTGATTTACTTCAGCTACAGCCAAATGATTTGCAATGACAGCTGCCCTGGACTCATTTATGAGTGTTCTAGTGTTCAGATTTACCTGTTTGTCCACTCCTACAGCATCAAGTCCATTATACATAATGTCTACCCAGCCGTCTTTTGATGCCAGAACAAATAGAGACATTAAGGCCTGAGACAGAAAAGAAAGGGAGAAGAATGGGTGAAATAGGTAGATCCTACAATGACGGTTGTAAAAATGTCACATTCAAGCAGTTCATCAGATCATGTTCTCTGTATTTATTGATAAACATTCAAAGGATTTCTGAGATCGTACCTGTCCCAGGTTGTCAAAGTTGTACTTGTGTCTGACCCATTTGTAGCTGGCCTGCATACAGTCTGACTTGTTGGTGATGTTCTTTACTTGATGTTCTAGTCCTTGACAAAAGAAGAACTTCCCTTTGAAGAGCTAGAGAGAGAAAATCGATAAATATGCTCTTTATTCAAGAGTGTACCTAAACATTTTCTTAAAATTACATTATGCTATTTGAGGTTCATTTTCCCAAACTGTTATTGAGATTAACAACCTTTAGATGTTTTATTTTTCCACATGCCTGCAGACATTATAATTAACTTGTCATCGCAATTTTTTCTAGTAATTCTTCCACAGGAGAAGTGGTCTAACATATTGGAATTAGTGTTCAAGGATAATTTCAGAGAAAGACTTTGTTTTGCAAAATATCCACATAAGTGTGGACAGGGCGTGAATCTAATACTGATATATCGATTTGTTACAAAAGTTATTGGTCACGGTAATCAGCCTGGCTTCTTTCTCCAGACAGTTTCCTCACTGCAGCTGAAGAGAAGGGAGTTTTTAGAGATGAATGGATCTTTGGTTAACCTCTATTTTAGAATACAAGCTGTATACATATTGAATTAGGCACCGTACCTTACCACTAAAGCTTTGTAAAGATTGTCATGGCACCAGCTGTGACTCTCCCATTCCTTCTGTTTCTGATGTTTTCTCCCTCTCATGTGTTCCTTATTTGTCCCCAGTTTGATTCTGTCTCTGTTTGTCTGGGCATGGCATCAGTTCCCTCCTGCTGCCAATTCACCAGCACCCCTGTGACTCATAAACTGATCAGTTCATGCAGTAGACAGTATATACCTCTGCTCTACATTCCAGACATCGCCAAATTGATCATTTAACCAACATGATGCCAAAGCTACTGAGAAACTCAAGTTCCATTTTGTTTTTCTCTCATGTTTGCCTGTGCTTCAAGTTCATCATTCCCAGCTGCCTCCATTCTTCCTGCCTCGTGCAGTCTGACTTTCTTTCTTCTTTCCTCTACTGACTCTTCTTTTAAAACGATTTTCCAGGTCCCTCTGCCAGCCCCATGCTCTACCACCTACCTCGGTTCAGCGCAACAAGACCTAATTGCTTCAGGTGTCTACTGTTGCTTTTGAGCATTGGAGTCCCAACTTAACTTAGCCTACCAGAGATTTATCAAAAAACAATAATGAGTGGAGTGAAAGGAGCTTTTTGCCCAGAACATAGGATTTGGGCATTTGCTCGGCATATCTGTGAACTAGAATACAAAATATAGGAAAAGATACTTTACATAAAATATATCACAAAACATTTATAGGTCATTTAATAATCAGGGAGTGGCATGGTGGTGCAGGGGTAAGCACTGTCACCTCACAGCAAGAAGTTTCCTGGATTGAGTCTCACTTTAAGCAGGGCCTTTGTGTTTGTGTGTTCTCCTCATGTCTGCGTAGGTTTTCTGTGAGTACTTCAGTTTCGTCCCACAGTCCAAAGAAATGCAGATTGGGGTTAGGTTGGAGACTCTTAATTGACCATAGATGTGAATGTGAAGCTTACATTCTGTATGTTGGCCCTGCAATATGCTGAACTCTTGCCAAATGTCAGTTGGGATTTGCTCCAGCTGCCCTGTCACCCACGACCCTCAAAAAGTTTAAGTTGGATGGATGGATCAATAGATGAATGATCGGGTTTGTCTTGCCAACACTTTTAACATTTTCGACAACAGAAGTTAAGGACACAAGAAAAGGTCTATGGCAACTTTTCAACAAGTGATGGCTTCCAATCGTTGCTTCATGGTATTGTTGACCCTTTAAGAAAAAAAACTTAACTTGGACAGATAGTCTATGGACCAGAGACACAGCAGCCTGAACTGCGACACAGAGACAGAGCTTGTTGGGCTGAAAGCCATGAAATCTCAATTGTGACCAGATAAGTGTCCTGGCATGAGTTATGATGTGGTTTATTAACTCTGATTTCATAATGCTTGCGATGCCAGGATGGTACATGTCCAACAGCGTGGTGAGAGGATAATTCATCTGTGTCGGGGTTGTATGGACTGCAGCTGTAGGACCACTGCTCACTCTACCCTCTCACCTGTACTCCCAAGATGCCAAAGATGATGAAGAAGGCGCAGCAGATGACTACAATGTTGCCGATGGGCTTCAGTGACGACATCAGAGTCTCCACCACCAGCTTCAGCCCTGGGGCTCTGCTGATCACTCTGGAACACAGCATATAATAAAATATTAGTGCTGTGTATGTGTGCTTGTATTTGTGTTTGTGCAGGGTCACTTATAAAGTAGTATAGTTCAGACCAGATGGAGCTGGACGCCTGCAGTATTCAACACTCTGCCACTCACCCTATGTGCACACATCCATTTTTTTGTAATGCCCCTATTTAAAACACTGCACTTGCGCTCAAATAGCACCTGCTTATGCTGATCTCTGCACTGCCTGTGCTCAAACTGTGGCTTGCACTCAATTTTATTTGTCAACACTACAGCCCAGTTTAATTGGTTGGGGAGCTTGATGCACAAAACATTCCAAGCACAGAAGAGAAATTCCACCAACAAGAAAAATCAGAGTGCAGAGGTTTCATGCACACAGACAAAGCATGAGCGCAAGGAGAAGAGCTGGAGAGCAAGAAATAAGTGCAGTTTGAGCACAAGCAGAGCTCATCTAAGCATAAGCAAACATAGGTGAAATCAATAAGACCACTCTCTTGAATAAAGATTGGAACAAAACACAACACGCTTTCCTTTTTTATTTTCTTGATTTCCTTTGTTTACCACAATTGTACAATGTGTCCATATTTCAGAACCAAAACGCTTGCTGGCTCACAGTCAAATTAACTTCACTTTCACTCCCGCTCTCACCCTCTTTCACACCTCTTTCTGCTTCCTTTCGTTTCTGCAGTCAAGGAAACAGACACATCCAATTAAGTCAATGGACTGATGAGAATGTTTAATTAGTGCCAGCATGACACCCAGCACTGTATTGCACTGCAGCTGAGCTTTGCTGGCGAAGAAACGCAAACACACACATGCTACATAAGACCTACCAATGAATGGATACGTGTCTGTTCAGGCTTTCACACAGAAAACACACATGTACAGGCACAAGCACACACTCAAAACCCAAATTCAGCATACAACAAAGTCAATATGAGGTGACAGATAAGATGACACACGAAAGAGCCTGAAAGAGAGAAAAAAAAAAAGCAACACAGTCAAAGGGGCTGTCGAGGTGATAATCTGCTCTGCCTTTATCTATTTGTCTTTGTCTGCATTGTGTGTTTTCCCCCGAGCAGACAGTTGAGCGAAGGAAGAGTCAATAGCACATTAAGAGAAGACATGAGATAATAAGGAGGCAGGACTGACCAAGGCCACGGATCAATATCCCTGATCAGAGAATAACGAGCTAATGGCGACAGCTCATTGCTCTGCACCTCACTGCCTCTCTTGTTGTACGATTGAAAAGCAGGTTGTGATGCACTGCTGCTGGTGGGCTATGGATGGTGCTAGTGTTCAATAGCTTCATCCACTTGCTTTGGTGATTGATGCAGTTGACAAACGGGTATGAGAACATGTTTGCATTCAATGATGTTTGCTGTCAAAGTCGGTGATATAAGTCTGGTTGAAATTTTTTAAGTAATTTCTGTAGTAGAGTGTACCAATGTTTTCTGCATAGTCTGAAATATCTCTTAAAAACAATACAATAATGCAGAACAGCTATAGATATACAGCTTGTTAGACTAGTATTTAAACACACTACTACACACTTACATGTGTTTTTACGCTGTAAACTAATTATGTGACTGTTAAAGATTAATATTTGTAATTACATTTGACTGACAATACTGATGCAACAGTGGGGCAAGCAAAGGGAGAGATGAGACATTTTTTCTGCTTAAATAGAACTCCTCATAGGGTGGGTGTGTATTATAGATGATTGTGGAGAGTGGGGTATGTCACGTAGTGTATGTCACATGATTGGAGCAGCGCAGCTCGAATTGACTTCCTGAACTAGCTCACAGGCATCTGGTCAGGTCATCTCAATAATTCAAAAGTGTGAAAAGTGAAGGCAAAACTATGAAGAAAGAACATGATAAGAAAAAAGGTAAAGAACAAGTGCAGTTTGTTTTAGAAGCCATTAAACTGGCACAGTCCTTCACACCATTTACATTTTCCCCAGGCTCACCCACTTACTTACCCTGCAAGGAAGATGTTTCCCCACATTTCTGCTTTGCATATGAAAACTGTGAGCCAACCTCTTTACATCAGGTTCTCCTTTTGAGTTCCACTCTGACAAACACGGGTCTCTTTATTATGAGTCAATACACTCTGATGATGCGGTGTGTGAAGGACACACAGCAGTGAGGCTGCTTTTTGTAACGTCTATTTGACCATGATACAGAAAGGAGGATGATGAGGAGCTGGATGAAGAGAGCTAGGGCGAGAAAAAGTGTTTGCTTCTTCTAATCTACACCTCAGCATAATTGCGCAGCACTTCGCAGAGCGTCCTTGTTCTGTGTGCTATGCAAAGCGGGAAGGAGTGTGCTGCAGTGTACCATACCTTCACACACGCACCACTCGTCTCCCTCCTCCACCAGCAAATACCTCACACCAAGGAAAGAGAACGACAAGTAGGGCAGTAAGTGGCAGGCATGTTCCCACAGTGCAAACACTGGGAGTAATTAAGCAATGCTGGGAGATAGGAATTGGGAGCAGAGGGAGGAGAGGAGGGATGGGGAGTTGAGGGGATATATAGGGAATAAAAAATGAGGCAGCTGCTTCTCTGCTTTTTTATCTTAACTTATTTTTCTATCCACCTTGTAGTCTAGATCTAAACACACTTCTCCTTCCTCTCCACCTGTCTACCTTCACCACACAATATTCTCATAGTCATCACTAAATGAATGAAACATAAACTGTGGGTCAACAAGTAAGGGTTTCACACAAACATGATCCCAACATCTTAAAGAATAGTAATTACTGAAAGTGCTGAGTCAATCTGTGCTGTCACGGTTACAGGGGGTCAAACAAAATGTGTACACTAGTGAGAGACAGAAAGAAGCTGACGTGGAGGCCTCAAGGTAAATACATCATCGTCAAGTGATGGATGAGACAACAGGGGCTCAACTTCAGGGGGGTTGACCCCCTGTTGTCCAGCCAAAACTTCACAAACACCGCAAAACAGTTTAGACCAGTTTGTTTGCAATGAGTCCAGGGAGTGTGACATGCACTTTTAATGAACGCACCGATGGGTGGTGGGGAGGGCTTGGGGTGGGCTCTCTAGGTTGCAGCTGATTTGTCAATGAGGCGTAGGTGGTGCTGGGCAGCGACACAGGGTGCTAACTTTACTGCCTACTCTAAAGATGGACCTCAGCCGAGGTTGTGGGCTTGATGAATGAGGTGCAGAGGTGTGTGTGTATGTGTGACCTGTTAAACAAAGCCAATGCATCATTCTGTCACCCAAACAGATTTACACACAAACACAAAAACGATCGTGCCCTCCTGAACACCCCCTACTCCCTTGTGCAATTTAGTGCTTTCATTAATATCTTTATCGAGAAGGAAAGAGCAATGGACACCTCCACACAAACACGTTCATGAATACAAAGTCACCTGCTTGTTGCAATAACACTCACTCTACTCGTGTTGCAAGCATTGCAAAAATACACACAATAGCTCAGTGCAAACTCTTCACATGGTCACACTGCATAAACTACAGGAGACACTGTTCAAAACCTGCTTAACTAAGTGACAAGCTGCCATGGATTTCAGCCTGTGAGCACATAAATGACTGCTGATTGATTGTTATTCCCAAGTCAGCGCCAGCAGCTCCGATGCTGCCTGTGTGAACCCCACGTGCACTGAGCAGCCAGAGGGGAAAACACAGACAGGCTCATATTTAATTTAACACCCAGCGAGCGCAAGTCGACCACATTCAGAGTGAGGTGACAACAGGCTCATATTGGAACTAACACAGAAGCTTTGGAATGACACTGCTGTGTCTGCCTTATGCCAGACTATAACGTGTCCTTCAGGGTGGTCCCTTCTGCCTGTATGCCTGTCAGGTCACAGGTAACGTGAAGGGAACACACAGCTACCTCTTACAGATCATCGCAAGCATTTGATGATCTGTTAGGAAAAGAAAGGTAGGTGTGGGTTGTTGCACTTTCCAAGAGAAATGGACAAACGATAAAGAGCAAAGATAGTGATGCTAGTTTACAGGGACGTTGAGACATGCTTGGACTGATGAACCACTGCAATTTACGTCCGATAGATATTCCTGATATTCCTCAAGAACATGAGGTCATCCCAAGTCTATGACCACCAAAATCTAACCAGTTCATATTTGAGTCCAAGTGAACAGTTGTACAGAATTTGAAAGGATTCTCTAAAGGTGTCCTTGGGATGTCACATTCACAAGGTAAGAAATGTCTTTTGTGAGGTAACAACAACAGTGTCCTTTAACCAACAAGATTCCATCAGTTCATCATTTAGTTCAAACTGGCGAATTAAAAAACAGATCCAACATTTCTCTTAATGGTTAGATCAGGTGTGTGTTGTTAGGTTATGCAGAAGCACCGCCATGCCTGACTCAAAAAGTGCTGTGGTCCCCAAAGATATATTTGTTGGAAGCAAAGCAGTAATTCCACCCTGTGTTGACCCGACTGAATTATCTCCTACAGGGTATTAAGCAGCAGCAGTACACCATAACGAGGACATACTGTATGCCCAGAGTAGCAAGCTAATAGCTTAATGTGCTGCAGCCTTTAACGCTGGGCTCCTCCTTTCGGACTGAAAGTTAATAACGACCGTAAAAAATGATTTTACAGTTTTGCTTTCCTGTTACTCGTCCACAGCCTCTGTGGAAGAAAAAGCCTAGTTGCAAGACGCAGTTCTTTCATCTTTCCTTTTTTTCCCCGTCGTCTCCTGTTTCTCCCTCACTCACTCTCTGCCTGCTTCCATACAGCCTCCCTAATCCTATTTCTCCTTCTGCCATTTTTACACTTTGCTCAAACTGACGGCATCACCGAAAAATGTCCGACCTTTGCTCCCGAGAATATTTCCCCTTAACTCTAATTTTCCTCCTGTAATTGCTCCACATTTTCTAATCTCACTTACAAACCTTTCCCACTCGACATTAATACAGCCTCAGCCCTGCTGGCCAGTGGGGATTAGCTAGGATGGGCGTACAGCAGAACGACTCTGCATCAGGTACTAGTCTCAAGTGTTCTGTTTGTCACAGTTGCACCAGATCAAACTAGAGAACCCTTGAGTGACAGAGAGTATATTTTTAAATGTCACATTCACATTTAACTTGTGAGTTTAAATTAGAATGCTATCTTTAAAAAAAACAAATTAATCATTTTGGAAAAGCCATGACCCCGTGCACACTAAAATACCAAGAAAGGCTCATTTTCTGGCTAAAGAAAATGTAGAGAGTAACAGGAGTCTACAAATACATGTGGCTTGATGTTGACCTAGTCTCTGTGTATGTTTAAGAAATTACTACTCTCTACTTCCTGCTGTACTGAGTTCAGAGATATTTTGTCAACAGTGATTTGGTCAAAGCGTAGACGCCAGACAATAAATCTTTTTTTAATGTCCAAGGTGAAAGTAAAAAAGGCAAAAAGTGGTTAAAAAAAGGTGAGTGGTGTTTGGGTAAAATTCACAGGAAAGAAAATTACTTTTGAATTTTTCTGCACTTTCTGAGAGACGTGATAAATATTCAAGAGAGGGCAAAGCCTGGAGAGCTCCCCTTCACGAGATGAGACAACAAGCATGTGACCATGAGCCAAGTCAAGCATGAAGACACACACACACAAACACACAGAGATAGGAATAGAAAAACAGTCTCCAAATTGGTGGTTTCCGCTTCATTTCCGCTCAAATAAACATGACTCTGCAATTGTGTACATGAGGACAATAACACAAGCATAAATGGGCTCTAAAATAAATGCCAATAAACACACACAAACATACACACATACACAAATATAACCCACATCTCCGAAAAGCTTTTATCATCCAAAGTGTTTGATAAATGGAGAGATTCTCACCTAGATACTCACAGGAATGGTTTAAATCAAATCGTTATGTTTTTAAGAATTTAATTACTGCCTGGTTTGTCCTCCAAGTGTATTTAGCTGCTTGTTTATCTTGGCGTCCCTGGGAGAGCCACCTACCGTAGCGGCCGCAGGGTCCTCAGCAGCCTCAGCACTCTCAGCATGCCCAGGATCTTGGTACCCGAGTTGGAGATGAGGGACACAAGGATGTCGATGACAGAAATCATCACCAGCATCCCGTCAAGAATGTTCCAGCTGCTTCTCAGATAGGCCTTGTCCCCGAAACACCAGCCCAAAGCTACGATCTGGACACAGACAGGGACAGAGAGGCATGACATATAAACACGTAGCAGAGTTATTTACAGGGCAGATAATACTCTGCACTACAGATTCAGTTCAGCATGTTTCAAATCAAACACAAACAAATATATATGCTATGAAATAATACATAAATCAGTTGTTCAATATCTACTTTTAGTCTCTGCACCTGCAGATTTAGTTTATCAATCCAACTTTTCCTTGTATCAGGAGTTAATGCTTCATGTGCCTCATGCAGCTTATTCACTCTGCAGAGCGATTTTGGAGCTCGGCTGTGAGGATAATAAAAGCTGTCAGCTTCCCAAACCTCATTTCTTATTCCATAGGTTCCACTCATCATTTATTCTGCACATAAATCACTTAACAATTCAGAAAAAAATAGACACTGGCTGGATTTGTTTGTTTTTTAGCTCAAACTTAATCGACCAGGCCAAGAAAAAATGTTTTTTCCTCAGGTGTAAACACCTCCTGAAAAAGAGGAGATAGAAGATCAATCACGTTAATTGATGCTAATCAATGTATAATGGTAATTACTGTATATATACTGTGTGTGTTTGGGGAATAAACAAACTATATGGACACAAACAGCTCCATTGCTGAGTTCATCACAGATTTGATTGATTACACTTTGACTACATTGTATCGCAAAGGAAAATATTGTATTTTATACCTCATTACATTTGAAAGGAGAAAATCCATTTTAATTAAATGTGCTTGGAAACTAACACAGAAGGATTTAGATCCTAATTTTAAAGCATTGAAATAGTTTGATCTTTAAACGACAAGTATTCAGAGCCACCAGCAGGTCACCGTAAGATTGTTTACAGGATTACTTTTGCGTTCCCTCGAAATACTGTCGCTGCAATAGTTTCATGTATCCATCATGTAACATCGTCATTTCATTAAAGGTGCAAAAGTGTGCAGTCATCTATATCTTTGCAGAGTACAGTAACCGGTTCTTCCAACAGCATCCTGCAGATCACCGTACCTCCCTCTTCTGGAGAGACCTCTTGATCTAAGAATTCATTCAAATTTACTTTCACTAGTTATACATGAGCAGTAAAACTATATCAGCATACATACCAGATCAAAGTCAAACTCAATACGCTGACCCATACAGCAGGGTTGTGATGGTAGAGGATGAGCAGAAATGGGCTACATAATACACAGGATCCTAAGCCGTCAGGATCCGATAGGCTGGGACTGTTTTTTTAATAATAATTTTTTACTATAACTATACTACAACTATTATGATTTTATGTACAGTATAGTTTAAGAGCTGAGTGTTTAAATGCACTGGTTCTCAGTCAGGTGTTGGGCAATATCAGAATTAGATAAGACAAAGAATGAAATCTTGAACTCTGAATTATTTATTCATTATTTACTTTTGTCTGATTATTGCTTTTTAGTGAAATATTGGATTACTTGACCTCTTTAGGCCTGAAACACTTCAATAAAGCCATCAGAGAAGTTTAGAGGGGATTAGTTTTCTTTAGTACTGAAAAAAAATACACAGTTGACAACACTTTTCTTGAGATGTGATCTTAATAAACCACATTATGCAGTTGAGTAAATGTAGCAGTGTTAAAAGTACAGGCTTTTGTACAAATGGAAAAGTTCAAGTAAAGTACAAGAACCTCAAAATAAAAAGGACATCTTCTTAGTTTCTTGTCACCACTGACTTAAACTTAACCACTTTGACACAATGGATTTTTTTTCATATTTCTGTATTGGCTAATTCCTATGTTATGCTATGTTTTGTAGATTGCTACTGCTGATAATATTATGAAGGCTGAATTATACAGCTCCTTAAAATCTGTGTGTGTGTGTGCACGCTGAGCTGGGACCAGAAATAGAGACAAAGGCTTAGAATGAGTGACACCCATGAACTTTCCTCTTACTCGCTGTCGCCCACGCCTGCACGGACTTCCATTCAGAGCCGGGCCTTTTGAATACAGGCAAGACTATCCTCCTCTTAGCATTATGAAACAGCCCTGGAAGTGTGTGAATGTGCCCTGTGTGTGTTCACAGTCAGCGAGAGGCTCAATCTCTTAACACCCCCTCCCCCTTAAGTATGTTTTCTGTGTTTTGGGGGCTTACAGTCCACGTGAGTATCAGACAGACTCTATTTTCTCTGCAGCTTTATGTCTGAGCGGTTTTTTGAGTCTGGCCTCAGTTACTCCATCTAACACAATTTTTGTTAAATTGTGAGTGAACACAGATGTGTCACATCTTGTTTCTTTTGAAGCTCCGGAGAAACGAGAGGTCTCGATGTGAGGTGAACAGTGTTTTTCTCGGGCTACCAAAGACTATAAATACTGGCATTAAGAGCAGAGTGAGTAAGAACAGAGGTCAGTGGAGACTTTATAGAAGTCTTATAAAAGTTATAAAGTCGGCTATATAGCTCAGGAGGTAGAGCAGGTCATCAACTATCCAGAGGGTTGGTGGTTCAAACCCTGCACTTCCAGTTCCTTGAGCAAGATACTGAACCCTAAATTGCCTCTGATATATCTGTGCCTACAGTCTGAATTATGGGTGAATGAATGGGTGAATGCGACTTGTTCTGTAAAGCGCTTTAAATGGTTGATTAGACAGTAAAAGTGCTCTATAAATACACTCTATTTACAAAACACACATGTACCTTTCGGAGGAGGATGAAACAAAACACAGGGTGGAAGTCGAAATATTGTTCTCTACCAAGGAGGGGGTTTATCTGTGTTTGCTTATTTTGTTTGGTAGCAGGACTACGTAAAAAAATACTAACCCAATTTTAATAATATCTTGTGGAGGGGTGCGACAAGGAAGGACCCAAGGAAAAGATCTGTGCACTCTGACGCTGCTGAGTGCCACTACTAAACTTATTACCACAAAACCTGTGCAGTTTGGACGTGGTATGGTTCAGGGAAGACTCCATAACATTTTGAGCAGCATCTGGTTAAGGGGGGTGGTCCTTAGATCGGACGTTCTTAAACGTTTTCACTGATTTCCCAGGAAAAAAATCATGGATTTTGATGAGAAGACGTATTAAGGAGACAGGTATTATGAGTGTGTAATTTGGTGCAGATTGATTTTATTTAAGGGGACTGTTGGGCCTTGGCAGTGGTATGCACTTTACTAAGTGCCTTTCCAGACCACCATCTTCTGCTCTTTAGGAAATGAGCTGTGAGGAATACTCACATGTGGTCTGCATCGCAATGACAGGTTTTTACAGCTAATGCTATGTATCAGTGGAAATCCAGAGTGTCTTACCTTCACTGTCATCTCAGTGACAAAGATCGCCGTGAAGATGTAGTTGGACAACGTGAGGAAGATCCGCTCCTGCAGAACAAAAGAGCACACACATCCGGAAGAGCTGAGCACACAAGCATGAAGTTTGAATGGTTTAAAATTTTTGGTTTAAAACACATTTCTGTTATGAGCATGTCTTCTACTGTGTTCTGCCTCCACATGAATCTAGTGTACAGCTGAATAATGTATGAGGGAACTATTTCTCCTCATAGTGAAAACACCTTTACAAACACACCCCTACTGCACTTACTAATGATGGCTGGCAGGCAATGCTACAGTTTACTCTTTATTAGCACCGCAGGGAATATTTAAACAAGGCTTCCAATTTGGTTTTTAGGTTTAACATTTTTTTTAAACTTTATACCAGTGAAAAAAACTGACCTATATTTTCTGCTGAAAAAGAATCTGTTGAATTTCTCTCAGAATAAGTGATGCTATGTTACCTATACTCGCCAAATGCTGCACTTGTGGTGAGAAACAAGAAGTTAAGGAACTTTAAAATGTGACATTTTTTTCACTGTAACACCTGGCTGCAAAAAATGTCCACAGAAGAGTATATTCTGTACTATTATGCCTTTATTTTTGTAATATTACAGGTAATATTTCCCCTTTAAGTAGCCCTAATACTCTGTTGCATATGTGACCTGCAACAATGACCCAAAAATTAAATGCTTGGACCTACTTCACATTTTCAAATGTATAAATAGACCTATCTCTGTGGATTCTAATATTTATTTATGTATGTATATACATATGTGTGTGTAAAAACAACGTGAAAGTCCTCCGCAATGCAGACATGCACAAAAAAAATCAACATGAAGACCAACGTTAACGTCTGAGGTCATGTGCTTTCCTGTCACCTACAGAAATGCATCTTGCAAAGTCCTTCTCATAACATTTATTTTTTCTGCACAAATAACCAGCATTTTTACTAAGCGGTCTCCATTCTTTGGTTTTGTGAGCGTGCTCACAACACAAGGCTATCAGGACCTTCATCTACACAAGTTCACATTACTGAACTCCCATGTTTCCCTGTGGCCTGAGGCAGCATGTCTCAGTGGTTTGTGTCGCGCAGGAGAGGATGGGAGCCTGTTTACTGAGCTAAACAAGGACTGAGAAGAGAAAACAAGCAGCACGGCAAGAATTAAGATCCCCTCTGTGACTGCTTATTTACCCTGCTTCTCCTCCGTCTGAGGAGACACGACCCTGTCCTGCCGCTGAATTTCTATGTAATATATGTCTGTCAATGTGCGCATGTGTGCCTGTGAGTGGGTGTAGGTGGCTGCCTTTCCCACGGCCTCTGACAACACACACACACGCAGCTTTGTGAAGGCTCAGGCATGACATCACTGGGAATGCTGCCGTTGAGAAGCTTCTCATTCCTGGCCTCTGTGAACAAGTTTTCATATTTTCATTCATCACAAACTAACGTGGTAGAGAATGACAGAGGGGAAAGAGACTTTGGACTCTGCAACAGCAAATATATAAAAATATCCCTGTATGACACACATTGGCCACGTCAGTTCAGTTTGCCTGCTGTTGAATTGAGTTTGTATAACATTACTTGCTGGAGTTCACAACTCAGTGGCCAGTGACTGGTCTGCAAATGAAAGCAGCTATAGCCATTGTAGCTTGCTAACCAACAAAGAATGAAGCACAGTACCATCTTTAGTAAATTCCTACATTGCAGTTTGACTAACAGAGGCATGTCTCTGGCACGTCGCAGACTTCGATTAAAATTTCTAGCCTGTTGGAAATCTAGTTGGAGTCAGCAACAATTCCAGCCAACTCTAGCCACTCGGAGCGCAGGACGAAGTGAAGGTGATGCAGAAACATGTAGAGGTGACTTTTTTTTACCCGTGTGAGGCACAGGGTTACACAAACTCAGTGCAGCAGGCTCTGGCAGAAAATACAGAATGCCTTGTGTGGTTCAGGTCGCTCTTGCGCCACTGATTGAGACATCACAATGAAGAAATGAATCGTGCCCAGTTTGATTTAAAGCAACACTAAGCACAAAGGCAGAAGCCAGCTATGACTTACACTGGGAACCTGTTTGCTTTGTTATGCTCCAGTTAAAATAAAAACCCAACACTAAACACTTCCAGTAGCTTATTTCCAGTGGCTAGGCTCCACAAGGCATTGTGCTCTGGCAAGCACAGATACCCAGGAGGTTTGGTACCTGGCCTCGTTTTTTGGGTCCACAAAATCCTACAACTGTATTATGACTGTGAGCCCTTCCTGTGTTCCTGAGCAACAGAAAACAAGAGATCATTGCTCTCAATTGTACTTATTGTGTGAAGCAGATGACGAAGCTGAAAACTTAGATAGATGGTGTTTTATGCTGTTGGTGCAGATATAATTCAATTTGGAGCTCCAGACAGTGAGGTATTGTCCCCTAGCTCAATTATAAATAATAAATCATAATAGGTGGCACAATCATCCACAATCATTTCCACTGAGCTACAGGAAGATGGTATCCAGGCAACCTCCAGCACCAAACCAAAACAGCAGCGGACGACAAGCCAAACACAAAGTGTCTGACATAACTTCCAGGACAATGAAATTATTATTCAGCCTGCATTCCTCCCTAAAATGTTGTGACTGAAGGGCTTTATCTCTGGAACAGTGACTACATTTCTATTTAGGGAAGATACAGCGTGTCAGGATATCACCACGGGCGACGTGAAGCAGGTTCTTTAAAGGAGTAGCAGTGGAGCAAACATTCAGACGTCTGATTGTTATACAAAGACAGTAACAGAATCAGCGAGTGAAAATCAATTCACATTCGGCTTCATTAATTCAACACAACCCACACAGACACAAATAGCATCGTGCACTGACCACGCGGGCCAGAGAGCTCAAAAGCTTTAATGACTGCTCATTCTCTTGTTCCAGGCTGCTTGCTGTGTCATACATTTCCATCTCATTTCAGTAATGACCTCAGGCTGCCGACTGGACACGACGACCACGTCAGGAAGCTGGCAAAATACATGTGCATCCGAAAAACTCTGATCTCTGAAGTGAAAGTTAGTGAGGCTGCTGTGGTGGATTTTCTGCTTTTGCCTGTGTTGTATTTAGCTCTGTGTGTGTGTGTGTGTAGTCCAGGTATTAATCATACAGTATTTTGCAGATCTAAATGTTATCACAGTCATATTATGAGGACTATTCTTCCTCATGGGGACAAAAAAACAAGTCGCCATAACATAAATGATTAGATTTTAAGGTGAAGACATGTTTCAAGGGTTAGTTAAGATTAGGGTTAGGTCAAGGTTTAGGTTGAAGTTCTGGTAAGGGGTAGGGTAATTGAGGTACTATACCGAGGGAGGGGTGGGTGAAGTGTTTGAGTCCACCATAACACTTCTGGAGTCTCAGGGGTAAACCGTGTTGCAGCCGAATCCGATACAAGTGAAGTCAATGGTGACCAAATTCATATTTGACTCAAAACGGTGTCATTTACACCAAGATCTTTGCCTAAAAATCCTCTGATATCTGACACACAATCGTGTAGCTACATCAGTTAGCTTTGCCCCTTCCAGTATACAATTAGGCTTAAGACGGTTTAAATGACCATGTTTCAATCTAATATAAAAGTTGGGGCTTGCGGACACTTGGCTGATACCACATGAGCAGTATGGAGGCATGTAATGTTTTATCTGTTGTCTTATTATGTCTGAAGAAGGACTCACCATTGACTTCGATTGTGTTGGATTCTGCTGCAACAAAGTTTACCCCCGAGACTCCAGAAGTGTTTTGTGAACTCAAACACTTCACCCACCCCTCCATTGGTGAATTTGAATTTTTCGGTGAACTATCCCTTTAAGGTTAGAGTATGTCTCCAAGAAATCAATGTAAGTCAACGTAATGTCCTCTGAAGTCATGGAGACATGACTGTGTGTGTGTTTGAATACAGGTGAGAGAAGAAATCCTGCTGACTGTATGTGATGCCCTGATGAGAAAGGCTGGCCTGCCTTTATTTGCTAAACATCTCCTTTCCTGGACATTAGCCACATTCACCATGTCTGCTGATAATTGAATCAATTACAACGCCTACATCTCCTCCTCGTGTTGCTCGCGAAACAAGCGGGACAGAGCGTTCTAGCGAGACCGAACCGCAATTAGGACCATCCATGGAACTACCGGCTCAGTGAAAAGAGAAAAAAATAAAATTGAAGGGTGATAATTATTGTGTTTATGCAAGCTGAGGCTGCGTTCTGCTGCTATTGCTGGAGGTAAGAAAGGACACAGTATGTGTTGTGTGTTCTTGCAAGGCATGCAGACAGCCGTCTTCTATGTGAATGGACGGTAAGGAAGAGATGTGTGGTGTTGATGATGCATCGTGTTGGATACAGGGGTGTAGCACACGCCACCCAAATCCCCTGGATCACCGTCAAGCAGGAGTGGTTCCCTGCCTGGACAATGTTCCGCTCTAATTCTCTGCGGTGAGCAAACTACAGCAGTAAATCTGTGTGTGTGTCTGAGCAGCCACCAAGTTTGGAGCCGCTGATATTCCTCCATTTCTGTTTGGAGTGTTTTCGAGGACGGTCTGTGTCTGGACTCTACATACAGTACCGCGGGAGGGTGATGTGTGTTTCTTTGCCCGTCTAACTGTCTCTCCCTTTTTCTTAGATTCTTTCTGTGTTTGTTATCAATGTTGTACATTTCTCTGAACTATGACTTCCCACAGAGAGTTGCTTCCTCCGTCATTGGTTTGTTTGTTTGTAAACAGGATTAAGCAGAGACTACTGTACAATTATTACAATTATGGTGTGGATCCAGACAAAGTGGCGGATCAAGGAATTATTTTTCGACTTTCTTTAACTTTGAGATATTTTTGATTTTCCACTGATTTCCCAGGGAAAAAAATCTCACTACCCAATCTTTTTTGAAGGCACATTTAGGCAACTGAAGCCAAACACAGGAAGGCAAATGAAAGAGCCGAGAGACGGTACCTGCTAAATATTTTAAGCAAAATAATTACATTTAAAAGTACCACAGCAAGAAATAGAAGTGGGAGTTTTATTTCCGATTGTTGTTAGAGGGTTAACAAAAACTTCTATACATTAATAAACCTAGTGATTGGGTTTGAGACTCACAGCACTGGAGGGTTCGATGCGGGGCCTCTCCATGGCAATGGTGATGCAGTTGAGGAAGATAATGACCAGCACGACGTGGTCAAACATCTTGTGGGTGATGAACCTTTTGCACAGGATCCGAAACCTGACAAAAAAAAAACAGCGCAGAGATGTAAGTGACAGCGGATCAATTATTTTACCAACCAAACAGTGTTTCTTTGTGATCATAGAACAAAAAAGGTAGTTTTAGGTTTTACACTGGTTTATGACATATTCCACATACTGACATATATTATAAATCTCTGTCAGCAGGAGCAGTGAGGAGCCAGAGGGAGGCGATTTGATGGAAACACTACAGTGAATACATCCAGTGTGCATATTGATTATTGATGGGGCGAGACTTGAGAGTCACTAGTCAAGTTCCTCCATTGAAAATGGTATTTTTTCCATCTTACTCCTCTCTGATGTTTGAGCTCCACTGTGTACTATATTTAATTACTAGTGTACTAGCAGGGTTTCAATCTGTCGTGGATTGTTTTCATATTCGTCTGCTGCTGTGCTCACTCTAAATCTCAGTTTTAAGAGGCGTCCATTATGTGCCAGCAGTGGTCCATTGAGAAACATACAAGTGGGATGTAGAGACTTTGACATGCACGTGCACTGAGAACATATGTCACAGAGACATAAGGAGGATGGAGACGAAACTTGTGACATGAGAAATATTTGCATTTACATTTGTTTTAACAACAGAGGATGATTCGATGCAAGAAGATGCAATTTGACACATTTATTCAATCTTAGAAGTCAAATCTTCACATGTGAAATGTAAAAAAAAAAAGGATTTGACAAAATGCACTGAAAAAAATAATGAGAGTCGTCATAATGTAGAGAAATTCCCCCTGTTAATAATATGCCATGATATGCTGTGTAAATGCAGTGGTTAGTACAGTTGCCTGACAGAAAGACGGTTTGTTCTTTCTGTCTCTGCCTGTCTGCTAAGGTTTTCTCTGGTATCATGGCTTCCTCCCACAGACCAAATACATGAAGATTAGGTTTAGCCTAATTGGAGACTCTTAATTGACCTTTGGTGTGAGTGTGACTGGTTGTTTGCAATCCTGCAGGCTAAGCCACTAGCTTCCTTTGAATCAAAGCTTAAAACATACCTTTCCCTGAGTGTTTTTATTTGTTTTTATCTTATGTTTCATTTGTGAAGCCCTACATAACTTTATTGGGAGAAATGCTTTATAAAAAATATTATTAGTATTTCATGCTTTACTGCCTTTTTCACCTCCGCTCACTAAATGTCAGCTGGGACTGGCTCCCTGTGACCCTTTCAGGATAAACTGTATAAATAATAATAAATGGATTATTAGTACTGATGAATTAATTTGATCTATGTTTTACTGTTGGAGCTGGTTGTGTTGAAGCTAATTTTACACTCTGTATACTTTGTGGTAGTTTAATCTACACCGTATCATATTTTATAATCTCTTTTTGTACGTAAAATGTTAATCTGTAAAGTAGCTGAACCAGCAGCTTTATCTGTCAAAAAGCCTGGCTAAAAAATTCATTAAATCCCACTCAGCTGTGATGGAGTGGGCATATAATAAAGTAGCGTCCATCCAGACTGCTGTATAAAAGTGTCATAATATTACATACAAGGACATTTACTGAAACACACTGTACACAGTGTAATGAAGGATCTCATTCAATTTAAAAGAGCTTGTCTCACACACAGTAATTCTGTAATGAACCGCTGTAGAATAAAAAGTCATTAATTATGCCTGACTTTCATCACCCAATGTGAAGAAGGTTGCCAGGCTTTTAGCTCCCGACGACAAGAGGAAACACTTGTTTTTTATGGAAGCACGGAAACGATTCAACTACATCCTCAAATTTTGGGTTTATTTGGCAACACTGACCTGAGTGCTGATTAAGATTAAGATTCAGATTAAGAGTGTCAACACTTGCCGTGTTTTGTGTGTGACATCACACAGGCTGTATGAGCTAATTCCTCTTTGATATCTGCATGCCAGAGCTGTGATTCTGAAGGATTTATGTGGTTCCTTGAAGCGGAGGGAGGGAGGGAGGGAGGGAGGGAGGGAGGGAGGGAGGACACATGGTGAACACACAGACACATGCACACACCTCCTGTGACAGCTCCTCCTCCGTAATTTGAAGGGCCAGTGTCTGGGTGGGAATTTTAATGTTGAGTTCAAACACTCACACTAAAACCTCAGGAAACAACAGTCACCACAAGCAAACGAAAAGCAAAAACCCTTCTCTCTTAGATCTGGGATTCGAAGACAAAAAAGACAAGTGACAAGGGTTTGAAGCTTTTCCCTTCTGATGATATTTACTGACCTTTTTTATTCTTTTAAAATGTCATGGTCTCTGGACACTGATCCTCTCACACTCAACCAACTTCTTTTATTTCAAATTGTTGTTAGCATCCTTGATGTCTTTGCTCTTCAATTCCCAAAAATATAAGGAGATTTTTTGTTCTGTGCAATCAAAACAATCCATAGACACAACTCGCATCACTTCCTGCGTGCTGGGACGACTGCCTTTTACAGAGAAGAGCCGACAGATGCGGAGAACAGTTGATGTTTTCTTCAACTACAGGCTGAATCACTTTTACCACTTGGAAAGCAGCAGCCCAGAAAGTTTGGACATAAAAATGCTACAGATCATTACGCTCACTGTTTACAGTACGTCTGGAACTTCCTTCCGGCTGTCTCTTTGTTCTATTCTTATCTGTTTCTTATTATCTGCCGCTCACGCTCCAGTCTAGCTGCACATAGTCTAATCATGCACTGTACACAAAGATACAACGGAACACCTGCACAACTGTCAGTGACCCCTCAACATCCCCGGCCCCCATAAGACCACTGTTCTTACAGAGCCCGTTCTCGCAGGTGGACACATCTACCCCAGTGCCTGAATCAGTAAGGCGACAAAGCCGGCCCACTCCTCCACTCATTAAAAACTTTCCCTGCAGTAATCATCAGTAGCAGTGGTTACAACAGCGAGCACAAAGACAGGTTGAGGTGGTGAACTCTCGTCTGTGTGAGAGCCGCTGGACTCCGGCCTCCCACCACGCTGCTGTGTCTTGATGTGATTGTGAGCACAGGCGGGCGCCACACAGAGCCTGGGTCCTTAGTGTCACTCTCAGTGGCGGTCAAACCACCCAGCCCGCTGTGATTGAAAGGCAGCTAAAAGCCCTGTCTGAGCCAAGCTCCTTCAGTTTTCTTACTCAGAACAATAGCAGATTACAGACAGCTTTTCCTATTAACCTTTTCCAAAAATGTGATACAGTCGGCAGAGAGGACAACCATCTAAAAGTTTTGAAAGGGCCTTAAATTGACAATGCAATGTGTATAAATGGAAATCCACAGGGAACGGAATAATACCGACACTGATGGTGGCTTGATCCCAGTAATTCTACTTTACCTATAAAACTTATTCACGTCAATTTTGTGAGACTTCAGTGTAGTGCTCGTCTTAAACTTGACTGTTTGCTTGGCCTTGTCATTAGTGAGTCCTCCTCAAACAGTTCAACAATATACTGTCACCTTTTCATTATTTGTGTGCAGAGCTTTTTAGAAACAGTCTCCAGTACAGGGTTCAGTTAGAAAACGTCATCCTACCTGGTTTATCTGCAATGAGGACTTAATGGTCAATTTTCTTCATTACTGTAGTGTGTTGGGTTATATTTAAGTTTAAATGATTTACTTATCTGGTTTTATGTTTTAATACATTAAATGTCAGATATTTTAGAGGTCTGTCAATTTCATTTTCAGACCACAAGTTCACTACCTTTCTAAATAAAGCTTTGTTATTCTGATCAATTTAAATCATTGCAGCAATATAACATTTTGATTTTATGTGAAGACAAACAGGATGTGATTCTATAAATGTTGCCGTCATGATGTCAAGAAAGGTGACACCTGTAAATGTCTAAAGTCGATACGATTAAGAGTTCTCAAAATATTATTTCCTCATATACAGACAGATGTTTGTGGAATTTGGTGAAACATAAACTCAATTTTAAAACTGTTCTGCAAAGAACCAACATTCTATAACCTCAGCTCTCCATACATTTAACCTCCACTCAAAGCAGGACATGGCACATAGCACAAAACATTAATGTCACAGATGGTTGAAACAACAGCCCTCAGCTGTTTAACTGCCTGTGCCCGCCAACACAGACACTGCACCAATGAACTTGAAAGCATCAATATTATTGTGCTAATGACAAATTTGACAAAATAAGCAAAGAAGTCAGATCACACTCAATATGTGTTTGTTCAATATACAGCAGTTTTTAACTTTGGACTGTATGTGAGCCACTGCATTTCAAACATGCACAGTGGGACAACGGTGATGGTCGATGTTAGGTTCCCAATGGGTGAGTGGTGATTTTGGGGGGTGCCACTTGTTTGATGTTTAATTAGCATGCAATGCTGTGACTGCAAGAAGGGGGCCGGCTCTCTGCTCAGCGTTGACTTTTGCAGCCTCATCCTTAGAAGCAGGCTGCATGAGATGCAAGCATCAAAGACCCAGAAAGGGGAGGAAAAGGAGGACGACCGAAGGGAAAAAAAAGGTGGTGTTGGTGGGGGGGTTAGATTTGGGAGCACGTGGCCGAGATAACACACAGAACTCAGCAGGAGAAACTCCATTCCTCACTCTGCTGCTGCTTACTCACCCCTGACATGGCAGAAATGTGCAGATAAAAGAGACTTGTGCAGTGAGAACGTGGGAGGGAACAGGAGAGGGGGGGAGAAAAAAAAAAAGCCTTTACAGCCAGCGTCATGGGATGTCAGTCAAATGCAGAATTTCCCTGTAAATAAGATGGCTCAGTCTTTTATGTACTCTTAAAAAAAACCTCTGATTTAAAAAGTGCTGGGCCAAAAGCACTTTTCATTACATGCAAACATGCAGCTAGCAAAGGTATGGCTGTTTATTTAAATTATTAATTCCAGTAATCTGACTGACTGCATGTGGAACATATCAAGTACTATTCATCTCATCAGCTTCACTATAGGCATGTGTATTGTTAAGGGTCCAAGTGCTGTGTTGGATTTGGTGAGATTGAGCTTCAATGAATTTTGAATAAACAGATGAGCGGCTCTTTGAGCAGCAGCAGCTGTGGAGCAGCTTCAGGGTTCTGTGGGTCCTTATTTGCCACGGCTCAGCACCTGCAACCAGCGCAACCACAGGCCGAGCAAACAGCCCATCTCAAACAGGCAGGTTTAGAACGGACACTGCACTAGTTTCATTCCACTTTATAATCCACAGTTTAATTTATCATAACTGCCAGGGGAGGAGGAAACAACCAGTAACTCCCATAATGCTATTGTGAAAATGCTCAAAAAGCGAGTGGAGGCATGAATACTACCTGGACTCTGGAGGGAAGAGGTAGAGTGACCAGGTGTCTCTCTGTCGACACCACTCGGGCTGCTTCTTCTCCAGCCAGCGGAATAATCTGGCAAAACGACCCTGCACAGAGACAAAAGTGGACAGTGCGTTCATTATTCATGAGTGCACAATTTCCCCTGTTGAACACAGTGAGCTAAACAATCACACCCACAGACAGAACTCACTGGATTGGTTTGTTGTGTTGTTTTATTCAGGGATACAAATTCATACATATGTATCAAACAAGGTTCATTAAAAAAGGCACCTACAGACAAATACAAAGGGGCGAGTGTCAGCCCAATGCTACATGGACATGCTGAGATTAACATTAGAAATACAGTTATTATCTGCAGAATTTCATTGAGCCCACTGACCAGGGTGGGCTCCTCCTCTGCGTTTTCATCTTCTGTGTTCTCCTCCAGCGAGACATGTGTTGGGCCCAGGACTGCCAGAGAGCCCTTTCCGTTGCAGTCGCTGTGCTCTGTGGGCCGTAGGGGGCCCAGAGAGGGGGGTCTGGAGCTGTGCATGCTTGCTGAGCGGTACAGGTAGGGCACCTACACAAGGAGAGAGGAAAAGGAAATATTGCCATAATGCTAATGTGTCATTTTCTCTTTCTTTCCTTATTTTCTTTGGCTTTGCAAAGACAGTAACCATTTTGGAAGCACAGCATTATCACAAACGTGCCATAAAGCAATTTCCCTTTTAGCCATATAGCAGGGTTCTCCCCTCATGAATCACCAAGAACTGAGTGAATGCAGATTTCCATTCCAGCCAGAGATGACAGCAGGTGGGTTTACTGATAAACATTCCTTCAGCCAGAGGGAGGATTTATTTTGTAAAGATGTGCCTGCTGCAGCCTTTGGTTGTGAGAAAAACCTGCATGAATATGGTTGCGTACTGGCACAAGAGAAGAGAAAACTGACACACAGCAGTTAAAGTAAAAAAAAAAGGTCTATATTTCTAGTCTTGATGACCACTCAAAGTTATTTACAGTAGTTTTGCCTTTCACACACACATTCATACATTATGTGCAGTTCTTTCTATCACGCATTAATCAGCCGTCAGGGGCTATTTAGGGTTCAGTGTCTTGCCCAAGAACACTTCGGCATGTGGAATGGGAACAGGATGTTACATTTTCTGCTGTTCTGCATTACTAGTTTCTTTTATATCATTGTGGGTTAAATATGTCAATAGTCTCTAGTTGTATTTGTCAGTGATTGTGTTTGCGGCTCATTCTGCTGGTGTGGAATCTGCAGTTTGTGCAGCTTAATCAAGCCAAAATATTTTGTTGCTGCTCCACATCACTCTCTCAACAATACTCCAGTAATCAGTCGAAGCTGATGGGGGGGGGGCTCTCTACCTGCAGAAGAGCATCAGGTGGCAAATCCATGGAGCTCCGAGTCTCCACTGACTCCATCCTCCGATGTCGGGGACCTCTCTGAGACATGGAATCCGTTCTGGCCAGGGAGGTGTTGTCATCTTCCATCATCCCACCACCTTCTTCACCTCCACCCTCCCCATCTTCCGAGCTGGAGCCGCCCTCCCCAGAGAGGAGCGAGCGTCGCTCCCCGGACTGCCGCTTCTGGCGTTTGAGGGACGGGGCGCGGCCCAGGCTGTTCCAGCTGGATCGTCGGCTGGTCCAGCCGCTGCCGGAGCTCCACGGGGCATAGGGCGAAGCACTGTGGGCACTGGTCTGGAGAAGGAAGTAAAAGAAGAGAAAAATTGTTGATCTTGTGTCTTACTACTCATGTAATCTTATTTCATGCAAATAACCAAGTGGAATTGAATTGACTCGGCATGACGTGAGCTCAATTGAATTAAGATTAACACTGACAGACAGACAGGAGCAGATGTACAGAACCAGACTTATTCCCCAGAGACTTTATTCCGATAATCAGTTTGTCAAATAAAGAGTGGCAGCAGTAAGCAGACTGTCCGACTGGCATGCCACAGTAATCATCATCAATCACTGTGACCTCACCACATTAGCAGGACACATACAATAAATCCAGAGAGACGCTCAGCAGTACAGCAGGGGGCCGCAGGGGCTGGGGATAATTCCTGGCACTTATCTCCTTACACATGTATTAATGTTGGCTTTGTGACATCCCGTATTACACTTGAGAACTGCCGCATGCTTTTGGGGCATGTGAAGAATAATAATAAATGCACTAACCGGTGATTTTTCATAGCAGGCTGGGTCTATGGAGACATTGCTGCCTCGACGGGACTCGTACCCAAGGATGGGATCACCTCCGACAGGCAACTTGGGTATGGGCATGGGGGTGGCTGCCGTGTGAGTAATAAGAGGTGGAGTCAGGCTGGTCTTCAGGTCCACATGACCATTTACAGGCACTACTAGTAAAGAAAAGAGGGACGAAGAAGAAGAAAAAACATATCATTGGTTAGAGGGCGTAAGAGCAAAGTAGATGAGGGTTGGAGAAAGTTAAAGATGTCCAGGGTTTAATGTAAAGAAGACAGGGGACAATGTATAAGATGTACAGACTAAAGACAGTGGTGTTGAAAGAAAACAACAGAGGTGAGAGGAACAAAAGAAAAGAAGAGAGAGAGAGGAAGAGGCAGAAGAGGTGGCGCATGGGGAGGTTTGCCGTGCGGGTGCACCCTTAGTAACTCAGTGCAGCATATTTAAAAATGGATGCCTCATACTGTTATTGAGCAACATGAATATTTCAGGAGGGAATTAATCTGGTGGGATGTGCAGAAGAGAATATTATGTTCGGCAGGAACACAAAGAAATGACATGCGGACGGAAATGCAGCTTTAATAACGTTAATTCAGCCATATTTAAACCTTTATACGAGGCTTGAAGATGTATATTAGGCTCTCCAAGCTATGTAAGCAGTTTTACACAGAGCATGTGAAGAGGCTGAAGAGGAGATGATACCGTACGTCTGCGGGTTGCACTACATGCAGTAGTATTTCCACTGGGCTTTTCAGTCTGCCTGAACAGTAATTAGAGGGGATGGGAACTGGCGTATGAGGAATTATGGATGAGCTTGCTGTACTCGTTTGATGCTGAGCTAGGACGCGGCCAGCCACGTGCTTACGGAGGGAGATCTGAGACAAGTGGGGGAAAGAGTGAGACCAGGAGACCCGCAAACATAGATCAAGTGGGGTGATGTTTGCACGGGATTGACTATAAATACCTCAGGCCTGTGTAACACATTTTTACATGCATTTGAAAAGAAACACGACAGTGTGTAACCTGCAAGGATATAACAAAGGCAAGGGAGGGAAAATGTCAGCAGTTAACTGTGCAAACACAGATGGTGCAAGTTTTGCCAAGTGCTTGTAATAAGGTGCTTTGAAAATCCCAGAGGGTTGAGGTCAGTGCCCCACGTTCCTGTTATAGCATCAATAAAGTAGTGCAGCCATGCAATATGTGTAATCTACAAACGGTTGTGCACATGTCTCACCTGCAGAGGCCGATAAATCCCTCTTGCTGCCGTTCACATCCTCCAAACGTGCGATGGAACCGATCTCTGAACCGGGCTTGGAAGAATCTCCCTTGATGCACAAACACACACACACAGTGTTAGAGGAGAACACCTGTTGAAAGTGTCCGGTTCTGAGTGGAGTTAACAGAAAGCAGGTGAGCCCAAGTTGCCTCTAAACACAGATCCCTGCCAGGCTGCGTCTTCCCCTACATGCCACATCAGTCACGGCCCAAATCTGACCTAGGATCAGCCACTGAAGGCAACCTTTCTATCAAGGCATGTAGGTAAAGGGTGTGGTCTCCCAGAGTTCAAAGGTTAAAGGATACAGCGGATGAGAGAAAAAGATTAACTTAGCAAAGTGTCATGCAAGGAGACTGAGAATGTCCATGGAGGAACCACACTGAAACACAATCAGTAAAATGCACTTTTCATGGCCGATGTATTGACTTGGCTTTGTTGTTACAGAGGCTCTGTGGCAAATCCGTTTTACTCGACGTGACCCATAAACAGCTACAAGAGCTTCAGTGTGGTTGCTAGCTCTACACATGCACAAACACACAACACGCTATAAAACAAACTTCACAGTGGTGAGAGGTGATGTGTAAATCAGAGATCCAGAACAGCAGAACTCTTAATGCATCATTCTGTTCACCATCATATCAAATGTCTCATTATCTCAAATTTCACATATCTTTCTAATTCTTCTCACTTTTTGTTACAGACTTTTGACCAGCTCTTAATTGTGCTGCCTTCCACTTACAAACCCACTGCAGTGAACCTCAGAGTTCCTCCCTGTATTCGTTGCACTATGCCAGAGCCTACAGTCTCCATTAATATGTGAGAGGGTTCCAGGTGGATGCCGGATGAATAGAATGCCGACCCAGTGAAGTCAGATCTCTGTGGTACGCAGAGTGAATAAAATGTGAGCAGAAAAGCCCCGGGACCTAATCAACATGCTCCTCTTTTTAAACTAACAAATTACTTTCTTGGTACTTCACGAGCGCAAGAGAAAGACAAAGTGGGTGTGGATGTGCTGCATACTGTAGTATAGTTCACTGGAGGCATGTTGCGTATGGTTTGAGATGCCAATTTGCATTTCTGTCTCGCACTTAAAGGTACAATTTGTATGCCCCGGGCTGAATTCGCGCGAACCGTGAAGTAGGGGAAGATTTGGGATAGGAGAGCGAATGCAAATGAATTAGCGAGCCAATCAACTCAAGGGCTACCAGGAGACTGCTGGGGTTGCCGTGCTCATCACGTTCATGCAGCTGCTTATTTATCACAGTGACTGATTCTATTTAAAAATCTTGGCTCACAGTAGGAAACACGAGGTACCTGAGGCTACCTGATTAAAGAAGTACAAAACTGATTTTTCTGAGAAGTAATTGACTGTCAGGCATACTTTTTTTTCCTCTCCATTGTTAATATTATGATTAGGACTGCAGCAAGTAATGTACTGTATACATTTAGTGTAGCAACAGTTTTTAATGAGTAATAGTAGCAGTGCCAACGATTATGTCTTTTAATTTTCTCCCTTACATTATGGTGTTCCACATATTTACTCAAATTGCATCTTTTATCACTGATTCTGTTATAGTGAGATGTGTACATCATCATATATTTCATATAAAAAGTGGGTGTCTAAAAATTTCTATCAGTTTGTGGTTTAAACAGATACATTTGTTGTTCCATTGTACTTTAAGTCTTGAGTAGCATACTGCAGTGCGTGTTCAATCACATTTTGTCATGATATTTATCAAAAAGACAATGTATTTTTACCTTCTAATTCATTGATTCTACAGCTTCTATTTTATTTGTCCCATCAAAATTCAAAGACTGCCTGACCTCATAAGCTCCTTTAACCACAACCAAGAATCCTTACATTGGCTTAAGTATAGGTGACACGTTATTTTGGTCCTTACTATTTTCTGATCTCTGCCCCATCTCTGAATGTGTTTGTAATCCCTGTGGATTTGTGAAGCGCGATCACTGTATTCTCTATTTTAGTGTTGTATTATTCCATTCATTTCATTTCATCTAATTTTTATATTTAAATGGACCTGCATATGGAGTCTGAAATCAGGCTAACCTATTGGTGCAATAGTAAAATAATATCTAAGCTCATCATCATTTTTTCCAAGTCTACTTCCTGCAGCAGTTTGTGGTATTAGGTAGAAGCAGACATTTCATTTAAGAGACCACAATACAAACTCTACAGTTCTGATCAATCGTGTCAAAAGACCAAGCTGACCAGAGATCTCCTCAGCCCTAATCCCTTGATCGTCAGCGGTGTGTGGTGCAGTTTAGAAACACACAGACGACTGGCTGCTGAACTGAGAGGCTAAAGTCAGTACAACTACATAAGACTGCAAGGGAGAGATTAATCCAGCACAGGCCTGATTCTGATCAGCACAGCTTCTTCTCTTTACTCTCTGTTTCTGTTCTCTCCAACTTTCTCTTTTCTCTCTGTCATGTTTTTCTGCATCGTCCTCTCAGTGTGTCTTCTTCACCCTTTTATACAACATCTGAGGCAGGCATTCATTTGTAATTTGGCCGTCATAACACTGATCCTCTAAAAGATATATCCAGCTAGAATGATTAAAAAAAAATACGTTGCTGCACAGCTACAACTCTAACAATAATAAAAGACGTTTTGCTTATCTTTTCTTAATTTTTTACGGATTAATGCACCTCAGGAGGGGGAGAAATTAAATTAGCCGGGTTCAGTTGTAATGCTAATTCAACAGGATTATATTTCTGATGGTGTGCTTACAGTAGTTTGGGGTGGAGCACTGTTGGTGTGAGGAGACTTCAGACCACATTATAGAGTAAAAGGTGTTCTCACCAAGCAATAGACAATTGAGATTTCACGAGAGAAATAAAAGGTGGAGATGATAGCTTTGGAGCAGAGGGGGCACTGCACTCGAGGGAAATCCCTATTCTTGAAATAGCCGGATTGTTTGGACAGCTTGTTTATCCTCTGTCACCCCAATTTGGGCATGGTGGTGGGCACAGGAGATGGGCAAGACTAGGCCTGCTGCTGATAGCCAGACAATAATAGACACCAGCAGCACATTGGGGAATCTCAATTACACCGCTTCAGAAAGGGAAAAGGGAGACAGAGGGTGGCTGTAGATAGGAGGAAGGGGGGGGGGGGGTAATTGTCTACATTGGAGACTCATCAGCCAAGATTGGATTGGATACCTGTGCTGTGACAGCAAACCTCTAAACTAACAGCAAGTCCTCAATGACATCCACAATAATAAAGGTACACATGGAAGTCCGGGGTAGACAATATTTAAATTTGAGTTTAGTTTTCTGTTTGCACAAGACGATATATTGCCTATATAATTATATAGATAATGTATAAAACAACTATTCTTGTCTTCAGCAAGAGGTTTTCTCAAATTTAATAATATATCAAATAGTTATTTTTGGAATATAGTTCAAACCTTTTAAAAAGAAAATTTGAAAATACCTCATGAGTATTATACCCTAGTTGCTCGGTGAAACCGGGCTGATGCTAAATGCTAAGGTAAGCCTGACATGCCCACAATGGCAATGCCAACATGCTGATGTTTAGCAGGTGTGATATTTACCATATACACCATCTATTTCAGTGTGTGAGTGTACTAATGTTTGCTAATTAGCAATGAAAACAAAGTTACAGCAAGAGGGAATTCATTTTGCAGATATTTGGTTGTAAAGCAAAGTTTTGGACAAATTTTACCTAATGACCGTGCCTGATAAAATAGAAAAGAACCAATAAAGTTATCACAATTTATTAAGAGTTGGAGATAAGTGACAAAAGCTTCTGCCTAAATTGGTCCTCCAGAAAACCATTACATCCAGCACTTTTACTATGTAATGTATGTATGTATATAAAATGTGCACCTAATTAAACGTGTTTAAGTGTTTAAAATTGTTATATAAGGCAACATATAGAGCAGAATTAACTCTAATAACTGGTGTAAAACTTTTTTTATATACAGACTATGATTTCACCATGAGACCAACAACCACACTCAACTCAAAACACCACTTGAAGCTCAGCCCCCCGGTGGCCCGCTGTATTCCAACCTAATAAAAAACAAATCTCTGAACATTTGGGAACATTTGTTCTATTTGCCTATTGTAAAAGTCCTGGATCAGCATTCAACTGTGTAAAATTGGAGGGCATGAGGACAACACTTTCAACCATCAGCTTTTCAAAGAACTAATTTCATAGAGTGCGCTGGTTTTGCCTGAAGAGCCTGAGTCATGCAGCCGATCTCCCCCGCTCTCTTTATTAGCTTTCATCCCATAGTGCTGCTGGATTTATCTGGCTGTGGTGAGGCCTCCCAAAAAGCCCCATGCCACCTCCCCCCCTTGCATACACAACATCTCTATGCCCCCACAAGATAAAACAGAGACAGGGAGAGTTTTTGGCAGCACTGGAGTGGTGTTCTAAGCCTGGGGCTGGATAGAAGAAAACTGGTGGAAGGTGAGCATTGAGTCTGAGGTTTGACGTGGAGTCTGTTTTTTAAAAAAGGATAAGAAAATAAAGAAAACACACACACACACACAGCAAAGTGAAGTGCTGAAGCTCTCCATCGTCTCTCCTAAACCCCTGCAAACAGTCACTCCACGTCCTGGTTAGTTTCAGCAGCGAGGGGCAGCATGCAGGAAGCAGGTTAGAGGACTTTGAGATGATGTGGCACATTCTCTGGCAGCCATGTTGGAGCATCACTGCACTGTTCTCTTAGAAGAGAACTCTGACTGATAAAAAACTGTCACAGTTCCAAATCTCTACAGTGTCTTGTTTTACGATGATTTCCATCAGTGCTCGTTTTAAAGGACCAGTTCACAAAAACGACCAAAAGACGAAAATTCACAGTTTTTTTAAATTGGATTCTTTCCCAGGGCAGATTTTAAAATTAAGGAGGCTCTAGGAAATGCTTCAAAATACCAACATTCTGTTTTTTAACATCAGTTTGGTGTGAGAGATGTGTCCAATGCAAAGACTGCATTGTTCAAGTGTCAAGTCCATTGTTGTTCATTCGTTCTTTACCCCAGTTGTAATCACATTTGAGCAAATAGTGAATCAACTTTTAGGCTGATGTATTTTCTTTTCTGTTTTCTGTGACCTATGGAGAAAACCATTCTGTAGTTACGTAATTTGTTCAGATTTGAATTGAAAATGGAACAGATTTAATTGACAAGTTTATATTCAGGTTTCTACAAGGGCTAAGCTAATGGCTTTGCTACATCAGTTACCGCCATTAGTGGCTCATGCATGCAACAAAATTTAATGCCTGGTAATTAAATGTTATTAAAAAGCACCTTGAGAGCTGTAGCTGACTTATGCTTCTTTTTTATTTATTTACAAAGACTTGCCCCTTCTTGTTATGAAGTAGCCAGGTATGTTCTAACACAGCCTTCCATCTTTCATACAGACACCCAGGAGGGTTTAATGTCAATTCAAAAGTCACCTGGCGAATCCACGGTATCCTATCAGATAAATTATTGTGCAGGCCAGTTAACTAAGAAATCTGATGCCAAAAAGCAGGTGTGTTTGTTAATGTGAAGTTCCTCTGCAATGAACCTTCAACCTGTAGCTATTAGAGATCTGTGACATCACCAAAAACCCTCTAAAGGGAAGGGAGGAGAAGGGGTGGTGAGGGAGGGCAGAGGGGAGGGTTGGTGGAGAGGGGTTAGTAGATTCAGTGGAGGGAGGGAAGGCAGGGCTGCCGTGCTGTACATACCCCCGAGTCTACAGGCAGCTGAATGAGGCTCAGCTGGACATGCAAGTCCTCCCGCTTGGTCACTTCCTGCGGCGGAAGTGATTGGTGCAGCCGGACAGGAAGAGGGAGGTGCAGACAGGGGGGGAAAGAGCCACAGAGGTGAGAGGTGGACCCGCAGCGAGTCGACAGGAGAACGTTAAAAAGTGGGTTTCGGCCTGTGGAAACAGTTGGACTCTACCATGCAGCAGAACATGTCAAAGCAACTGTCCTGCACATGTGCAACATGAAAAGTCAGGGCAGCAGAGAGTGCAGGAGAAGTACGGCCACGTCGTTACCCTCCACTTGGTCCGCTGACATGTTTGTGAGGATAACACTCAGAAATGACAATGATCGCGACATGTACATTAAATGATCATTCAGGACACATTGTGCTCTGCAGGGAAGTATTTCTCCTGTGCAGCATGTGAAGTGTGTGTGTTGGTGTGAAATGTGTGTTTATTGTCACAGTGAAAGGTCTGATAAGAAACAATAATAACTTTTTTGCTATTTTTTTCTCCATTAGGACACAGTTTGGTCTGGTTGCACTCTCTGTAGCGGATATTGGATTCTGTCACACACACAATGTCACAAGCAGACAGACAGAGAGAGAGAGAGAGAGAGAGAGAGAGAGAGAGATAACAGGAGAAGAAGTAGAGCATGGAGCGGATGGACATTAAAAGTAAGGCAGTGTGTGTGTGTGTGTGTGTGTGTGTGTGTGTGTGTGTGTGCGTGTTGGCTCCACAGGCGTACAACCCTCCTCACTTGGCCCTCGTCATTCAAGCACCGCCGTTACCTAGCAACCCTGACGCAGGGAAAGTTTGGCCAACTAAAAATAAACTTAATGTTTGCAGAAAAGGATGTAACGTTGAGAAAGGAGAGGGAGAAATAGGCCCACAGCTCTGTGATGATACAGGAGAACAGGAGAACCTCAGGGGTTTCCACATTCGGTTGTGACAATGTGTGTTTGTTATGTTTGTGTCTCTGAAGATTTATTTCTCACTCTTTTCTGGGAGTTCCCAACAGAACCAAAACTTAAACAAGGACACAAACAAACATTCACACCGAAAAGTATGAAAATCACACAACAGCTGCTGTGCCCACACGCTAGCTATCAAACATTAGAAATGTGCGCGACCAAAAGCAGGAGCAGCGACTGTGCAATTAAACTTGAACTCATTCTTTGGTCACTGGAGGGCAACAGAAACAAACTGTGACATATTATTGTTTCATACTGACACTGAAAAAAGAAAAAAAAATACTTTCAATGGCAGCACAAAAATTTAAGTTTTTACAAATTAATTCATCAATTGTTGGTATAACACTAGTTTGTGAAGTTGAAGTTAATGTTAAGTATAACTTGCTAACTTTACTTTGAACAAACTTCATTCATTTGTGTGAAATCAGTTTTAGGTAATTTGAATAATTATTTCTTTTTCAGTACATTTATATTTTGCCATCATCTTTTAAGTGGATGTAACAAACTCGCCACCATCCAAGCTGTTTACGCCCAGTAGACAGTTAGCAACATCACCACAACCATTTTAACACTAACCGCTCCATAATGATTTTCCAGGTTTTTAAATGCAACAAAAACTTGGACTTTGGGAACAGAAGATGCATGATTTTTGGCATATAGAGCAGGGATTTGATATCTGGTACCAAGTGGTCACAGGAGACACATCCAGGACACATTTTAATACCTAAGTGTGAACAGTCCACTTCTATGAGGACATGTGTTAATAAGAGGTCTGAACATGGTCGGAATTCACCAGCTAGTAGCAAAATATCATTTCATTTGTGCACAGGTTGCGTGAAATGGGTTTGTAGACTTTTGCTTTCACTGGAAATCTGCCTGCAGCAGCTGAAATGATGCTGTAAGACAGATGGATGAGGAAGAACCAAAAACCTAAACCCCTGCATGTGATTCCATTCACCACAGTCATGCACTTGATATTTGTACAGCAGATAAGCACAACAGCAGCAGAAGCCCATTCCAATTAATCCATATTTTATGAGGCTGTCAGCCGCTCTGTCTGCCACCCCTCATCTATCCTCCCTCCTCACAGGCGGAGAGCCAAAGAGCATCGGAGATCAAAGAACTGGCGTTGTCACTTCTTAAAGACGGAGAGGGGGGAGACACAAAGACAGCCAGAGACACAGTGAGCACTCCTGTGATTTATTCTCTCCATGTCATCTCACCAACTATTCCTTTCTCTCACTCGCTCCATCCGTCTCAAATAAAACCCTGTATAGTACAAATGGGGTGGTTGAGAAGTGAAGAGAGGTCGCTGAATGAGTTTCAACTCCTTCACTCCCTCCAGGCCTGAAAAGTGTTTTCTCAGTTGCCTGTCTCTAAACAATAACGACCATTAATCCACCTTTTACCACTCTCTCTCTGTCTCGCTCCCTTCGTTTTGCTGTCTTTCGTTTTTTTTCTTTTGGAGAGGAACTGGCTGTGGATAACATATCGCCTTTGTTTTATGACATAAAAAGACTTGTACGAAGGAGGGGGATGTGGCTGCTGCTGCTGCTGCTGCTGCACGGTCTCATCGAGCAGACATAGTTTTCGTATGATGTGCTTTATGGCGCGACTTGTACTGGCAAATAAGCAGAACAATAATGAGGATGACTGGAGAGATAGTGGGAGAGAGTGGGAGGAGAGGAGGCTGACAGCGAGTCGAAGAGGAGAGAAAAGTGAAACACTGCAACTAGTGCGTGTGATCGCATGTCCTCACGTAACCTGCAGCAAAGAGTGCAAGGAAACATATTGGTTCATTTGTACATGTACATACATGTTACTGAGTATGTTCTGTATCCGTGAACGTCAACATGCATCTGATAGAGTTGTTTGTGCCTGCACTGAAAAATAAGTACCTTGTTGAATTATTGAGCCTGAGAGTTAAGTCTTGAATCTAATTTCTTCAAATTCTTGCAAGAGTAGCTTCAGCAGTAAATACCATTATTTGTGTTAGGGCTTGGTAGTGAGCCAGATCACTGTGCAAGGTTGGTACAAGATAGCTCCAATCAAAAGAAGATAAACAAACTCCCCCCAAGAGGCCATATTCACATGGTGGCCATTTTCCTGTGACGTCCAGGTTTATAAGTCATATAAACACAGATCATGTGACAAACTGTTTCCTGGTCCCTAACTGATCAGCAACTGAAAAGACAATCTGGATACATTTGATTACCAACCATTAGACGACAGCTAACATTTGCATTCCATCGCTTTCTTGGAAAAGCACTCTCTAATATTGACATGTGAGACAATGGAAAATGCTTTTTAATCCTGAAATATCAATGCACTTCTGGACACAATTATCTAAGAAGTAGAATGCACGAGAATCAAGCTTGCTATCCAAATAAAGTTCTTTAATCAATCATTTGTGTTTATGTATATTATAACAATACACAGTAATATGTTCCAGTGAGTATAACATGACATAACATTACTTCTTTAACCTGAAAATAGTTGAGATCGACTGAAAAGACATAACGGTAAGCTTCACACTGCTAGCTTCCTTACAACCAGTACACTTTACTTACAATCTTAAATAAATGTATCAAAAATTTGCATTGATATTTCAATATAAAATTAGCCCTCATGGCTAGGGTTAGTGCTGAATGCATGGCACTTCTAGCTTTTGCTAATGGTAGCTAATAATATGCTGTTTAACCTTGAAACACAGTCTCATGTTTCTTCAAATCTGATTTATCTTTGTTTTTTTCAGTTGCTGATTAGTTTGAAAACTGTTTATCAGATGTTCTTTGTTTATATGACTGATGAGCCTGGATCAGAGCAGTGCAACCTTATTCTTATGCCAGAGGAAGATAGAAGTTTAAAGTCCTGATGGTTTTTTTATGCTACATTATGCATTGGTTTTGTGCACGTGTGACCAGCAAGACATTACCTCTGTCTGGAAACCCTCCACTAGGATGGCCACCAGTAAGTTGAAGAGGACGTAGTTTCCAAAGGTCATGAGTGCGATGAAGTAAAGAGCAGCCACTGGAGAGGTGGAGGCCATGCCGTTATACAACACCTTGTTCCAGTCCTCCTGGGTGAGGATCTGAACGAGAGGAAAGTAGAAAAAAGTATGAAACAGAAAAAGGTGCATGATTGTGTAGCAGTGTTAAAATATACCACACAATGAGTTTCTGGTTATAATATAATAGCCACTAATATATTTTGTAGCTGAAATGACAACTATCAATGGTTTTAATTGCTGTAGCTAGCTAGCTAACTGACAATGAGCATCTTGCAAAAGTGTCTTAAATATGGACATGATTGAAACTGGAGCCAAAGCAGCGTGTCCCAGGCAAAGAAAATAAGAAACAAGTCTCCAAACTTACTCCAAACTTACTCAATTGTGTGCATAGACTGTATATAAAGATGGACGACATGACAGCTCCTCAAAAGTAAAGCCAAAACCTTGAGGTCATAAACCCTGCATCCTCGAAAAGTGCACGTTAAATAAATTACAAAGACATTTAAAGTCATTTTAGGTAGTTCTTATCACACTGATGTATGTTCAACTGCAAATCTTTCTGACGCGATAATCAAAGCAGCTGACACTGCTTTGTGTTGGCTGTGTGTGTGTGTATCAGAAGAGCTTGATACCGTGGCCCCACACCACGTTCACAAATGCAAAGTGTAAAAGGAGGAAGTTTAACATCTTTATATACAGTCAAACATTCTGTGATATGTTAGTGTATTGTTGTTTAGGCCACTTCTAGTTTTGTTTCCTCTATTTCTCTGCCCAAAACAGAAAATGTACTCAACTCTGCTCCAGTGATGCAACATTGAAAATGTAAAAGCTGCCACAGCAAGGCTGAATCATTGAAAGAAAGATACATTACACTCTGCGCACCACCAAGAGAACAGACATGTCAGTGCAATGCACAGAGAGACATGCTGGAGCGCCACATGGTCCCTGACGATATGTTTCACTGAATTATACAAGGTTACTATATTAGGGGGTGATAAATACCATACAGTGTTTTATGCAAGGGATAATAAATGGATGGTTGAACACCACAGAGTTGCTAATCCAAGGTGACGTGACACGAGAAGCAAACCTATGTAAGATACATGAATAAATGGAAATGAAAATTAGAGCAGTGGATGAAAATGTGGGGAATATATAAGGACATCAGGTGGAGAGGAAGAGAGGGAACTATGAGGGCGAAGTGGAATATTTTATTTGATATATTTTATTTATTCAGGAGGAAATTGTCTTTTCGGCCTCTGAGTGGGGACAGTTTCAGTCAGCAGCAGTGAAGCAAGAAGAGTTGCTTGCGGGCACTTCAGAAGGTTCGATGCAATCATGCAGGAAGTGCAAGCTACCGGATGGATGGATGGATGGACTTCCCTACCTTTAGGTCATCCCACTCATATTTTCATTAACTCGACGGAGTGTGAAGATACAGCTTAATTAGCCATAATACAGTCATGAGAGAATGATGTGAATATTTAAGAGAAAGGGGTTCTTGTTCACCTGGAAGACCGTAACTATGGCCCAGAGAAGAGAATCAAAGTTCTTCCTGTCCGGCAGTGTGTCCTTGTCACTCTCTAACGCAAATCTACAACCAAACAGATGCATCCCCAGGATACTGAAAAGGGAGGAGGGAGGGAGAACAGAAAACAAAACAGGAAATACAGGGATAAATGTTTACAACAGGCCATCTCATTAAATACAGTACAAATAAACTAATAATTGTTTTAAATTCATCATACTGATTGAATTGAAAAATAGCTCTGGCAGTATAACATTGATGGTAATCACTGCATAATGGACAATCATACAACAGAATAGAAGTACAGAAGTATTTACAAACAGCTTATTATCAAAATAAATTGCAAAGAAAAGTAGAACATCATGTCCACTCAGTGATGCAATTTACTCATTGCTTCATAGACTGTTGGCCCACAATGCACCGAGGCACAAATGTTGCCAACTAACAGAAGTGGAGAAGAGTGCTCGTGCCAGGTTAAGTTCAGCACCACGGAGAGCGTCACAAACCGTGGCAATTACATTCACTATTTCCTCCACTATTCCATCTCCACTGCTCTCCTCTCAGCACAGGAACACCTCAACACATACGTGCTTCTTCAAGAGAGTGAGCCGTGTGGGTTGAGTTTTGTGTATGGAGCTGGAGCTACAGGAGGCTGTTAGCTCATCTTACACTGGAAACAACCAAATCTCTGATCTCTCACTGCTCCTTGATGAAGAAATACTAAGCTACTCCACAGAGATCATACTAGATACAGGAAATAACGCAGTTCAACTTTAGTGCCCTAAATAGAATATTTAATGTGCTTATATTAAGCTGAATCTACATACACTTTAGTGCATGTTATGTCATGACCACAGGTGAATGTTTCAGTTTTGCCATTTTTGACAAAAGACAAGAAATATTTATGGTGAAGGTCCACGGGAAGCCTTGCCATAGGAAGCAAATAGTTTATTCACCTCCTTGCTAGTTTGTGTATCAGCAAGTACAGAGAACGTCCGTAACTCTGTTGAGCTCAGCTGCTCTGTTTAACCAGGCAGAAAAATAGGAATACAGACGAAATGAGAGAATCACTTAGTCTTGTCATCCCTTCGACTGATCTCATTCTTCACGTCTGTACGACCTCTGAAAAAGTTGACATGTACCGATCAACTGATTTCATTTCACTCCACACCTTTGTGCTTTCAATCCCATCTACAGAATTTACTTCACAGTCACTGATCAAACTCCCTTTAGTTTAAACTTGTGTGTTTTCTTTCAGTGTCTTTGCTGTTGTTCCTCCACATTTTTTAGTAATAACTGTTCATTCAATACTGAAATGTAACAGTGGCAAACCTCATGCTACTTTTCCCTTCCAATTTGTGTGAGCGAGGGGGTGATTAAAACATTTGCTTCCAGATGTTACGCAAATCCGCAGAGTTGCTTCACGTGGAGTTCAACTTTGGTGAACTTTGGCCCACAATATATGCCTGTATCTGCATATGTGTGTCCGGGCCCTAAAACAGGACGTGCCGTAACTTGCTCCTCCTCTGTCTACCTGAAAATGAAGATGAAGAGCATGAGCAGCATGCAGAAGGTGGCCACGTTGTCCATAGTCTTCATCAGCACCACCAGCTGTCTCTGCAGGGCCGGCATGAAGCGCACGAGCTTCAGCACCCGCATCAGCCGGAACGTCCTCAGCACCGACAGGCCGCCGCCCTGCTGACCCACAATCTCCCACACACTGAGGAGACGCAAACATACACACACAAGTATTTACAAGAGAGATTTTAAGAAATTTGAGGAAATACAACAACAAAAAAACCCTGAACACTATTTATTGATTATCACACAATGTTGGGCATAGAGAAATTAGCTAATTATCAACCGATTATATATATAAATGATACAAATTCAGAACTATATAAGTTGAATGTGAGTATTTAAGTATTACAAGAACCATCAAGTCTAACACATGATAAAAGAGACAAAGCTTCAAGGATTTTACAGTTGCAGATTGATTCTAACTTCTACTCACAATACAAACCACAGACTGTATATGAAGACAGATGACATGACAGTTCCCAAAAGTGAAGCTAAAGTGTCTTGATCGCCAACTAGTGGCCAGCAGCAGTATAGGTCATAAACCCTGCCTCCTCTATGTTAGTGGATAGGACGCTGACCAGCTAAAATGTCAAAATACACATCAAATTAAGTTGAGTTTGGTATTAATTGGTATTGCATAGTGGGAGGAAGTGGAAATGTTTGTCCATCATTATGTCCAGTCTATGCTACAATCAGGGATGAAGCATATATGGGCTATAAAACATAGCAAAGTGCTTCTTTGTAGTAGGCTACCAGCATGGAACTAAAAGCTAATACTAACTTTAGCCATTTATTCCATTTGAAACTGAGCTTTAGTTTCTGGATTCACAGATAATGGGTCACACTTTTTTGGAAATGAGGAAGTCATTATTCCAGTGGTTTGTCATCACCGTGTTTACCACAGCATTGCACTACCACATAGCAAACACTCAGAGACTGTTTATGGCTTTTGACCACTCTGTTTACTACCCACATCAGGATGGTGATATCACATTGTTTTTATGGGCTGTTTGGGTAAAGTTTGTTGGATGGAAGTTAATGTGACTTTAACTTTGTGTGTTACACCCTAGAGAAGTCGGACAGTGATGTAATGTTTCTGATGTGTTTCCTCAGGGGGAACTTTTACTCCATTCAGGAAAATACCCAGAGTTCCCCTTGTTACTTGAGTAGAGAGTGAAGTAATCAATCTGGTCAGATAATCTGATTAAGACTATATAGATCACAGATAAACACTTAATACTTGTTAACAATTCAAAAAATATATATATAGCAACCGAACATCCTTTTTGTAATAATTAGGTTGATTCAAATATTTTTATGGTTTTAATGAATGTGGTACCAGAGTGGAAAAAAGTATGATATGTTTTTTACATGTAATAACAACCATGGCATATATTCCCAGTGGTGTTAGTTTTAAAACAGGAACAATG